AGTGGGGTGGGCAAACGGCACTAAGAAATTCAACAGATGTGGAGATTATACTATAAAAATATCTGAAGAAATCAACACCTAAATGAAGGCTAAATGAACAAAGGGGGCAACCAAATTGGAAATTGCCACAACCAAAGGGAGAGTGCCGAGGATCAATCTGATGCTCCAGAACACGACAGATAAACACCACTAAAGAAATGCAAATGGAGCTACTGGGTCTCAAATAGCAAACGGAGGACTAACCAATGATCCACCAAAAAACAGGTGGAACAGCACACCACCTGAACAGGAGAAAAAAATTAGACCAACAACTAAAGTGGCCAACAAAAATAATGTTTACGGGGCCATCCCAGAGTAAAAACAGACCTACTATTTCCAATAATGAAAAAAACATTTGGACAACTTAGGAAAGGCTAAACCATTCTATACTCTTTACCTCAAGGAAAGGAAGCTTGGACAGACAGAACATGTCCATGGAAAAACCAAAATGTTCAACAGCTCGTTAAGTTAAATACTCATGACTCTTTAGAGGGAGGTCCACGATAACCCAGGATGATACCTGACAGACAACTAAGCTCTTAATTTAATATCCATGCATGTGAGAGCCCCCACAACATTAGTGTAAATGGAGAGAGGGGAAAGCTGACAAATATTGAAAGGTGCTAACACTGAATCCTTCTAAAGGAGATGGTAGAGTGATCAACAACATTTGTATAAAAAGATAGGCAGGGATGAGGATAAAAATCCAAAGAAAAAGCACAGACCAGCGACAAGTAGAACCCTCCTCTGGCCCAGAAATACTTCTTGCAATCCAGTAAGGCCGCCCCATTTCAGACAAGGAATACCGTGCACTGCATGAAACATACAAAACAACACCGGGCGCCTATCCTGGTGCAAAAATCCATTTTATTAATAAAATGAATGATATAGAATTTCTTAGGGTTAGTGCAAGGGTTAAAAGCGTCAGTGGATAAAAGGTCCTAGGTGGCTTTCCTAGTGTGGAAATAAATAGGAGCAGTCCAAAGACAATCTAGAGACTCTGCTTGAACCTGCAGAGTCAAGCTAACATAGCTGAACGCATTTTCAGGGACACACCCCCTTCTTCAGAGCTGGGCGGCTCAGCTATCTGAGTGCACATTTATACTGTGGTCAATCATAGACCTCTACAGGATCAAAAATACACCAATACTGGGATAGCATTTAGTTGCTAAGAAGCCACCCCCGAAATCTGACCATTCGGAGCTCAGGGGGCGGCAACACACTGTCCTCATGGTTGTAATGCACCGGCTGAAACAATCCATTAATTGCTGGAACACAGAGGTAAAAGCACTCGAGATAGCTGAAGCCCTAACAGTATAACAGCAAATAGGCAGATGCACAAAATTTAAAAAGTATATAAGTGTGCATAAGCATACAGGTGTACAGAAACACTACCACACCGCTGAGACGCTGAATATGCCAGCATGTCGGCTGGCCGGCACAGCGGACCAAATGGATGAACGGCCGACATCAAGCCGGTATACAAGTATCAAACAGAAGCAGCAGCGGGGTGAGCGATCACCACCTGAAATTCATATAATGATCATATTCTGATTAGAACGAATATACAAAAAAACATGAAATAGGAAACAAAATGAATTAATTAAATGATAGAAAGAAAAAAATTATATGAAGATGTATATTGATAATACTCAGGGCTGTAGCTACCATGGGGCGCGTGAGGCACTGAGGCTGAGAGGGGGCGCAGTCAGGGCCGGTATGGCTGTGCCTCCTTGTCCCTGTTGCCATTGCGAGCACAGAGCGCCATTGGCAACACAGCCACGGCTTGGCTGGGAGAACAGGAACAGCACATTACTGTTTAAAATAAGGGGTCCTCAGATGTGAGGATCCGAAACACAATATCATGGCTCTAGGAAAGACAGTGTGATCATGAAGGACTCACTTAACACTGTCCACTTTAGGAAGTAGGTCACCCAGTCTGTAATAGGACAAGATTTCTGAAGGTGAAGATAATAATAACTGAGACAGGAGGAGGTAAATTACCAAGGGACTCAGTAGGATGAACAAAGAAGCCCCCACTTGCAAAAGGGGGACACACTCTAATGCATAAGGCTGAGAAGATGAGACAGAGGGCTTCTGCTTTCGAGATCTACAACTTACAGTAAGTGGGATGTAAAGACTGATCCCCTACAAAGTACTACTGCAGGAGTAGATGGAAGTTGGGGTTCCTCTTCCCCATTCACAGATCTCCTGCGCTGAAGCAGGCATACAGTATGACCTCCAATAGTATCAGGGATGAAACTATGGCAGCTTCAAAGAGACACCGATCCAGATAGTTGCTGTGTAGACACTAGGTCAAGCCGCATAATTTAAGTATTGATTCATGTGTTCCTCAATGGCCGATAAAGATTTAGTAATGAATGTTATTGTTGCTATTATTGACGTACACCTGTTTTACATTCAGATAAATGAAGAGAAATAGAGAAGAGAATATGCTAATCCAGGCCCCCTTCAGTGCCGGTTACATCTCTGAATGCCTAGGCACATAGTCGTCTTTCATCTCTGCTAAAAGGATTAAAGTGAAGACTGTGTGATCTCTTGAACCTGCAGCAGAGAACAGATCTATTCACTAAAGGGTGAAGGGTTTGGAGAAGGCAGGAGAAGTGAATAATCTAGGACAACATAGCTGAACTGGAAAGTGAGCTGAATTGGAGAATTTTTCCAGTTCAGCTAGGTTGTCCTAGATTGTTCACTTCTCCTGCCTTCTCCAAACTCTTCACCCTTTTGTGAATAGACCTGCTAATGTATAAGATTGTGATCAGCACTGGAGGAAGTCTGCAGAAGCAATTTCTCTTAGTAAGGTATGTAGTACAGCCTTTGCATCACTCTTTCTGTCTACTCTTTACAGTAATCCTTGTTAAGTATGGGTCTTCTTTAACCTAACCCCTTACCCTCCTTTAACACTTAGAACTCCAGAAATTGTTATTATATCCAATGTATTCCCTAACAAAATCCCCCAGAATTTTCAGAAAAACCACCACACTTTTATGTAAACATGCTTAATCCTTTTGAGGTTCACATAGCTTTAACAGTCAGTGAGTTACAGAAAAATATAAACATTCAAGACTCATCTAATGAAGTCTTTACAGAGAGCTAAAAAAAAAAATAGATAAAACCTGTCCTCCCTTGGTTCCCCAAAAATGTTAACCTCCTTTTCAGCCACTAGATGCTGCCGTCAATATTGTAGGTACAGTATATGATTCGCAATGCTGGGGAAAGAGATGCTGGGGCTGCCAAAATTTACATAACACCCTTTCTTGATCTCCCCTGACAGCAAACATGATTTATACATTTAGTATTAATTATTCTGGTTGCAGGGCTGGGGAGAGGAACCTATTTGTATATGGAAGACTCAACAGTTAAAAAAAATTTAAAAAAAACAATATTTTTACATCCCGCTGGTGATTACTGTGACAGATTACAGTGTATTTATATCAGCAAACTTTAAATCTCTCAAATGGCCGGTGTCATAGCTGATCACATATGCACCACCATGGCAACTGCAGATCTAAACAGAGGCTGAGAATGCACCGTTGTTATCTGTGAAGAATAGGAGAGTATAGCTCCACTTTAGGCCCTTATAAATCAGCCCCTTCAAATGTATGTAACCACTTTCAATTAGCTTCTTTTATTTGCTCCATTTTAGGTTATTAAATATGCTCTTGGAAGTGCTTTCCTATATCTGTTTGCTAGGTGCAAAAAATACCCTTTGGTCATGCCAGAATTCCAATGAGCTACACCTGATGGGCAACAGAACACCTTTTCAACTATGTTATGGAGATGATGAAGAGGGGGAAAATTCTGTAGTCCTAACACACGTCCTGTCCTAGGATGACAATGCTGCTCCATTATACATTTAATACAGTGAGTGAGCGTTGTCCACCTAGGGCCGGAAGTGTGATACTGGAAGGATTACCAGGTGAAAATAAGAAAGAAAAAAAAAGAGGAATAATAATGCAACCACCAAAGCACTGGTAAGATGCAATATATTACTATTTTATTCATGGGTTTATAAACTTTAGCTAATATATATATATATAATATACACCTAAACCTACCTTAAACCTAAAAATTAAAGTAAGCCCTTAGTCACGGACCTATTCACTTAACTAATTCATAACACTAAAGTCATCCAGTCATGTTGTCTTGTATTCTTCTGCCTGGGGCAACAGCACTCAATCTTCCCAGTTCTGCACCTAAACATAATAACACTGATATGCCATCACTCAAAGCTGGGTCCTACCACCCTTGGAACTCTATGAACGTTAGTGTAGTATAAAAGAGAACTGACTCTTCACTCCTCACCAGGAGGAACTTGTAATTTTTATGGAGAATTTAATTTGTTATTCACTTGCCATTTAGGCATGAGAAAATGGGCACCTAAAACCATATTATAGCAAAAGACAGAAAATCAAAAAAGCAGGTGTATACATAGAGGATACATGGTGAAGCAATCCAAAGCTACAAAGAGGAGAGATTGGTAAAGAAGGGAGCACACAGGGCAGTGTAGGTCTCACTCATAAGCACTATCTTGTTCCCTAAAACATCAACATTTACAACGGTTGGCTGCTGAAGACATTGCAGCACGTCGATAAAGAAGTGTGTATATGTCATTCAGAATCTTTCTCAGTAGCAAGATTTAAAGACTTCACGCTCGCTTGTACATCAGCCAACTAAAACATGTCTTAATCCAAAATGCTTCCCTCTTGGCTGAGTTTCACTGACAGTGTAAAATAGAGCCATTTTTCCCTGACTTACATTGACAAAGGGTCAGGGCTGTCAAAGCTTAACAGTTTATAGAAACTCTGTACATTTGCAGTAAGTGTTGTACCTGCTCAATTGCTAAATGTCTATGGTGTTCACAGTTCAGTGCTGTTGGCTTTAAGTCGTTGTTTTATTCGCTTAAAAATGATTTTATACAAAGACGGGAATATACTCACGGACACAGCTCTACTTCCAGATATTGAGTAGTCTGACTGTTCAGGAAAAATGATTCAACCACTGCGGAGAAATGGAGAAAAGCAATTTTGGAAAGAGAAAAATGAGACCTTATTGAGGTCTAAGTGACACAAAGAAAGATGCCAGTGCTATCGCCTATTTTTTTTTAATGCATAGAGAAGCTATGAAGCCCAGAGATACGTACGGTCCTGTGTATAATGCCAGCCTCTGCTTGCTGTTCTGGAAAATCTAGTTAATGTAGATATTTTGCTGTTCCAGTAAGCGGCTTTCTGCTCAGGCTCCACATAGTAATGGTGATATCTCAGGTCACTAGAAATATTGACTTTCTCATCTGTCTCTGCCACTGGCTCCCATCAATAAAATTTGGGAGGTAAATATGCCCCTTAACCAGGATAAATCTAGTACAAATAATGGCTTTGAAATGATGCATTGAAGCACAGACAAGATTTAAAAACCTGCGGTCAGCCTGCAGACCACAGCTCTGACAATGGTCATGAATTCACTGCAAGGAATCTACAACACTAGACGAACCATTATATGTGGTGACTGGTATTATAGACCTGTGTGGTGTACACACTGACTAGCTAATAACATAGGGAGGATTGTATATATCAATGCACACCTTTCTATAAGATTAACATTTTTTTTATATGCCTTATTCACAAATAAAGGCAGGCACACTTCAGAAAGAAGAGTGAGCTCCTGTTTTAGCATTCTATAAAAATAAAATAAAAGCTGTGCGTTTAACCCAGTGATATTTAAAAGAAAGCTTTGGAATATCTAAGTGAACAATGTTGTACTGCTATTGTCTGTGGCAATTCTATTCCATCAGTGAGTAAACTGTTGCAACACAGATATTTTTAAAGTAAAGTACTTTTTTAAAATAAAGGGGAAAATATGACTGGAAAGGACGGTAGGGGATTAGTGTTAATAGCCCTTACCCCTGTAGTGTCCTTTTCCAGAATCAGCACATTGAAAATGGCAGCGCAGTGGTATCGTTAGCTCATTCCTTTTGGTCCATGTGCTCTCTGCTTCCTGTCCCTGCTATTATGTGAATAGAGTTTCTTGCTCCAAATGGCGACTCCCTAGACTTCTATTACAATGACTTATTCCATTTTCAAAATAGTAGGCACAGGAAGAAGAGAACACATGGACCAGAAGCATTGAGCTAATGGTACTTCTGCTCTGTTGTCACAGTTTATAGACACCTGTATCTCAGAAAGGACAGAAAGGTGGTAAGTGAAATGAACATTACACTTACCACATGCTGTCCATTCCAGTTACATTTTTATAGTTCTCCTTTAACCCCTTAGCACTTGCTAAGCATATATGTTGCAGCATGGCAATGGGCTTTAATGTTGAGCTGCCACATATTTATGCGTACAGCTGGTGTCCCTTGTATGTGTTAAGAGCACGCTCAATGGCTGCTCCCAGCACAGTGAACATACTGTCTCTGACAGCTACGGGTCACTGTTTACCACCCATTGGCTCCCAATCATGTGTGCACAGTGCCCCAGGCATTACAAACTTTCAAAGGGTCGGCTCCCGCCAGCTGTAGATGGTTACAGTTCAACTTCAAACAGCATGAGAAGACAATTAGCATAAGCAGTTAACAAGGACATGCTGCAACTCTGCTAAAGTTAAAGTCCACCTTGATTTGAGTAACAATTAATCTATCATGCTTTCATCTGGCACATTTTAACATATTGTACTCTGTGGCATGAATCTGTTCTGTTAAACGTCCCTTTCTCTTTGTCAGGGACCATACAGAATCTACAAGTAGTTGTGCTAGGAAAATCAGTCCTGTTCTGGAACTTCCAGAAGACCAGATTCTTGGCAGTGGAATGATCTTGAGATGTGCGAGGCCTGGTGCAATACAGGATTGCCTGGATAAAGAACAGAAGCCTTTAGAAGGTTGGTTGTATGTATTGAATGCATTTCATGGTCTCATTTTCAACTTTGACAGAAGAGTATATTTTTAAAATCTTTTATTGTGCCAGCCATGTGACTTTATTTTCAGATTTTTGTAAAAACAGTTGTTATGGCAAAAACGGCCATTAAACTCTTTTGTAAACACCCGTGGAGGCTTCTAAAATATGTTCAATTTGTGTTTATTGCCATCAGGGCATGTCTACAGCTGCCCACACATATATCAACCTGTCTATGAAATGTTCACAGATTGTCTACAGTCTGTATGTGGATTTCATACACAGGTTTGAATCTCTGACAGATGTAAATAACATCTTGGTATTGACATTTTGATGCATTGGCTTTCTGTATGTTAGAGACAGAAAATGACCTATATTGGGACTTTTTGGCAATGCCTCTATTACATTACAACTGGTCAGCAAAATGGGTCAATCTCCAGATTACTGACTAAAGGGTGTAAGGTGGACTGGTGTACTAAAGCTTTGCCTGGATGTAAAACTGAAGCCCTCAACAGGTAGACTAGGTGCCCTATATGGAATACAATTTATATATTCAGTAGAGGTTAGGTTTAAAGTGTATTTCCACATTTTCAGCCAAATTGCCATAACCAAGGCATACAAGTAAAGACAGTCAATATTTGTGGGGACTGCTGTTGTTTTCTGGAGGAAATTTCCTTGGTAACCCTCTTTAGGTTTGCATTGTCCATCCTTGGGATTGATAGGGAAAGCACTACAGGTGGGATTCAGTCATTGACTCAGAGGTGAGAGACATGGGCGTTGCATAGAATGGAACCCAGACCAGACTTTGTGAGTACCACCTGATGAACCAGCAATAGCAAAGCTGTTTATTCTAGTTAAGAGAGGGTTAATTACCCAATTGACCCCAGCCATAGCTCATCCCTTTTGGAGGGACAAAAGGGACAGGATATAGGCAATACCGTCAGGCCATACAAAATCTGTACTCATTTGAAAAATATCTATTAAGAGAGGGCTGTCAATGTATGTACTCTCTTCTGCATGTCTAATTGTTTCCTTCTGCCAGTGTGTGAGACTTTTAGGGTTCCATTTATAAATGTTTTTATACAAGATTCACACATTTTTCTAATTGAATTTGATTATGAAAATGTGTGATATATGGGTGAAATTTGTGTGACTTTTGTGTGAAAAATATTTATAAATAGACCCCTAATGTCTAGGTATGAAATGTCATGTCTACATGACTAAGCAAAAAACACACTTGCATCAATGGCCATTCCTATGCTGAAATAAGAACACATACAGGATTATACATAAAAGATAAATAAAACGTTTTATGTTGTAGATTTATTCAATTCACCTTCATAGTCCCAAAGTCCATTAAAGGGTTTTCCAGGTTCCCCAGGAGGTGCTTGAGGGTCATCAAAGAAAAGAGCATTAACTTCCAGCAGCAGTCCATCTGGATGTGGCTTAAATGTGATTGTTACTGGATCATGCATCACTTGTTTGCTGTCCCATGTTGTAGTTATTTTATAAGTGCTCTGAATAAAAGAAATTTGTTTCATAACATCATTATTTTATCATTTATAACAGCGTATTGTGGTCACGCATTTGCATTTAAGAAAAGAATAGGTAAAATAACACATAATGTACAGTATACCCTTATTCTCTCTGACATAGTAAATTGATGTCTCCCATGCAAACCCTTTCATTCTTATGTGCAACATAATAAAACATTTGATTTTAAATGATTGCTGCAGCCACCTTTTCCTTGATCATCATGACAGCAAAAACCGCAGGATACTTCCTGCTTCTTTATGGTAATGCACCCTTGTGTACTCCCTAATGCAAAGTACAGAGCACCCTATCAAGCAGGGTCAGCCCTTTAATGAGACAACCAGAGGCTGTTTCCTCAGGCAGCATCTCTTTCAGTCACGTAGGGGGGTGGCAGGCTGAGCAGCATGTTTGTTGTATACCACTCAACTGCACCATATTTGCAGTGTGCCTGCCACCCCCTTTCTGGCCAGAGCATCCCAAGTTTTGCTAAGAGCCAGGCCGGGACATGTGTAAGGGCCATACACATCTCCCTGCCTGGCTTTTATCAACCTGGCATGCTCTAGCTGGCATCCCACCCATCTCCTGGCAACCAGTGACGTCAATGTTTTCTAGGAGTTGTGTGGGATGCCAGCTAGACTGTCCCAGGCTTCTAAGAGCAAGGTGGGGAGATTCAGAGCCTGCAGAGGGCGGCATCACTCTTGTGTCTGGCGGCGCCTGCAGAGCTCACACACCCTCCGCCTCATGCGGCAATAATGCTAGGGACAACACTGCTATGACGGCGTAACATCCTGTATACTGCCATATTCAGCCTGTGTAGAAACACCCCCTAGTTCACCCACTGTTTTAGATTGACAGCAGCTCCTGTATGGAGTATCACTGTTGAGACCCTGCCCACCATCAGTCAGAGCTAGAGGGAGAAGAGAGGTCAGACGACTGACACTAAACAATCGAAGTTAGAGTATTTAAACTGCTTTTAGAGGATGTGTGAGCTTTGCAATTATGCAATTGACTACAGAAACTTTAAGTATGCATGCAAAATAATGTGTAAGCGTAACCCGCACAGGTATTTATTACCTCTCCCAGAGGCATCAAGGGTAATTTACTAAAGGCAAACAGGCTGTTCATTTTGTAACAGAATGTTCACTTAGCTTAGTGAATGAGGCAGAGCTCTGCTGACTTCCCTCATCCAATCATGTGCAGGCAAATACAGGTGATTGGGCATTCTTCGCAGAGTGAATTTTCACTACATTCACTAAGCAAAGGCAAAATTGTCTTGCAAAATGAACAGCCTATTTGCCTTTAGTAAATCAACCCCAATGCCTTCATTTTCTTTTCTCACCAAAAGGACAGTACCACCTTTGTTCAGGCACCTTCGAGGGCTTCCTGGACTGATATGCTGGCTCAGAGATGCCACTGTTATATAATTACATAAACCCTGTTGCAGTTCTTGGGTGTGTTCATACATATCTGACATATCTGGGAGAGAACAGCCCCTGGTACATCCTCTAACATCGTAACTGTAAGGATGCAATGAAGGGAATTTATCAAAACTGGAGCAGACAAAAACTGGAGCAGCTGTACATGGCAACCAATCAGCTTCTCACTTTCATTTTCAAATCCTAACTGAACAAACTGAAGAGAGAAGCTGATTGGTTGCCGTGCACAACTGCTCCAGTTTTTGTCTTCTCCAGTTTTGATAAATTCCCCCCAATATTGTAACTGGGGAGAGGTGACTGAGGCAATGCTTTTTCCTGCCTGCAGCAGACTGATGACATTGTCTCGGCCTAGGCAAAGTCACTTGACTGGAGCTCAAGGGCTGCTTTTTGATGATAAAAGGTATGGCTTTTTTTTTTTAAGGGAAACTATTATGACATGTCTGGAATTGATTTAAAAGATTATCTGAACTTATTGATTATTTTACCCATGTCCCTATACTGAAGTGATATTGAAGTCAAAATGTGTTTAAGCTATTTCAAATGTTGATGAAATTACTCACAATGAAAGCTGCTCCATGATGTTTAAAAGTTTTAGTTTCCTGCAAACTCAGCGGTCCAGATATCCTGTTTTAAGGTGACTCCTTTCCCTTACAGGATCCTTTGGAGCCACTCTTGTGTGTGCTAGTAAGCTAATTGTGAAAAAACCTGTATCCCTTCGCACTCCTGACCGGATGGAAGTCCAGGTAAAATAGGGCGGGTGCGGCAGTGACAGCTCTTGTTTATTGACTAGAAACAGTGTAGCATTTTACAGCTGTAAAAAATGCTACACTGTTTCTAGTCAATGAACAAGATTGACTTGGCATTGCATTGGAGTGTGAGTGACTTCCTAGTAAGCTAATTGTGTCTCCACAAACACACAGGCACAACAAGGGAAGCCACTTCTCTGCTCCCTCTCCTTCTTCCTCCCTACTCCAAGCTAGCAGATAGATAGCTGCTGGAGACTGATCTGCCTCTTGTGATCTTGAACTGCACAGGATGTTCATGGAAGCCGAGCAGAGAGAGCTGGATCCAGCTGTTCTGAAACATGATGAATGTACAGTAAGTGCTTGGGCACAATTTTAAAGAAATACTTCGCTGGACCATGTATGATTGTTTGATCTGGATTCATTATTGAAAGAAAGATTGAGACTTTAATACTACTTTACCCTATCCAAGCAAACCTCAGTGAATGCTTACCTGTTTTTCTGAATAATCATCCCTTTCATTTTCTGTGAAGGTTTTGTCATTGTGGTGCCTTTTAAAAAAAGTGAAAAAGTAACTTAGTATATCAAACACATGTGAGATCTATTTATCATTTTTTTCACATAAGATTCACAAACGTTCACCCACAATTCACACATTGGAATTCATTATAACCCCATAGTCAGTTGATGAGTTTTGAAGTATGTAAGCTCAGTCTCTCATATAATCTTTAACATGCTAAGTACTTTCAAAAGTGATTTCTTAACCGTTTAAAAACGACAGTGTTCATTAAAACAATACCTTGCAATCCTATCATGAAGATCCTTGATCAGACACTTCCTGTTGTAGACTGACAACACTTAATCCTTTTCTCCCAATCAGGACTTTGCCAAGGCAGAAGAGGCGGCCATATTTGGCATTTTAGTAGGATGAGGAAAAAGGACAGGATCTGCAACCTATGCCGCTGAGGTACTTTACAGTCCCTGGAGGGGGCCTTCTCACCTTGGGTGCTAAATGACCTTGTCCCAGCACTGCTCCCAGCACGTTGTCACCCTGTCACGTATGCTTTCAGTGGAGACTGTAAGTGGCTGTGTCATTGTTCATTACACAGGCATGGTCCACCACGGTCACCATCTGGAAGCACATCCTAAGCACTGAAGTGAGTGCATGTGTACAGAAAGAGGCTGGCAGAGATTAGCAGCACTGATTTGCAAGAAATAATTTAAAAAGTTGCCAAAAAAAAGAAAGCAAACAAAATGTCATCCAGTTAGGGTTTAAATCTATTTTAGGTGATGTGGTGACTGCATCAGTAATTTGGAACAATCATGACATAATAACCATTTGATCTGTGCCCTAGTTCCCTACCCAAGTTCCCCCAAGACCAGTCCAATTTCCCTCTATAGCCGCATACTGAATGATATAATCATGGTGTACATTTATCTCATCCAAAGGATATATTTATACAGTGCAAGATGAGCTCTGGAATATCAGTTGTACAATGTTTCTTCAAGACTACCAGCCCATGGGACTCTCAACCCACATGACTTGTCTAGCAAAAACAAGAATTTCCAATACTGTGACAGCTGTTACAAGTAGGATAATGTCTCATGCTTCCATTACCATACTTAGAGACCAAACCTTATTTAGCTGATCCTTTATGGGACATAGCCTAAAGACAATCAAGGGAATTTATCATAACTGGATCAAACAAAACCTGGAGCAGCTGTGCATGGCAACCAATCAGCTTCTCTCGTTCATTTTAAAATCGTAACATAAAACAGAAGTCATCAACTTGCGCAACTAGATCGCTTGTTTATGGACTGTATATTAATAGTGTCAAGGGAGCTCCAGTTATACTGATGGTTAATCCAGAGAAGATGTATGCACTGATCCTGCAGCCTGGTTAGTTGGATAGGGAAACATCCATGTAACAGCACTGTGAAGAAAACATAAATTATATATTTTAAAATCTTAACGCAACAAACTGATAGATGCTGATTGGTTGCCATGCAGAGCTGCTCCAGATTTTGTCCGCTCCCGTTTTGATAAATTCCTCCCAATATGTTCTCTAGGTTTAAACCATCTACCGTATAGGAACTGGAAAATGCCTTCACATGAACGTAATATGTGCAGTATACCCTTATTCTCTCTGACATAGTAAATTGATGTCTCCCATGCAAACCCTTTCATTCTTATGTGCAACATAATAAAACATTTGATTTTAAATGATTGCTGCAGCCACCTTTTCCTTGATCATCATGACAGCAAAAACCGCAGGATACTTCCTGCTTCTTTATGGTAATGCACCCTTGTGTACTCCCTAATGCAAAGTACAGAGCACCCTATCAAGCAGGGTCAGCCCTTTAATGAGACAACCAGAGGCTGTTTCCTCAGGCAGCATCTCTTTCAGTCACGTAGGGGGGTGGCAGGCTGTGACAACAACACTGGAACCCCAAAACAGTTCAACAATACTTGTGGACACAATCAGACACTGCACATCTATGGGGGCAGTTATGTCATTTTATACAAATGCCAATTAGATTTGATGTAATGAGACACAGTTCCAAACATTCCCTCACGTTTATTTTCTTAGTGACAAAAGAAAAATTCGTTTTAGCATGAAGCATTTAGAGGACTCTTTAATGACTGAGTTCTACCAATTACACAAGATGTAATGTCTTTAAGGGTACACAGCGGTACACATGCTATGATTGATGGCCAGAGAATGCAAACATGCTATGGTAAATGGTGGGAGACTGCAAACATGCTATAGTAGATGGTCGGAGACTGCAAACATGCTATAGTAG